GAAGAGCTTTACAAGTTACATCGCAATCAATTATTGTATTTGCAAGTGATCGATTTTTCGTAATTAATTATAATAAGCTGTATCATCTTTAAAAAAGATGCGTCTATTATTCCCAGATATTCGTCAGTGTTTTTAAGTGGCGTTCATCGATGAACTTAATAAAAATTAAGCAAGTCAATATTCCGATGAATTGCGAATTATTGACACAATTGAATCGTTTTACAGTATTAAATGTTAATTCGTTAATTCGTTTGATTCCACTGTAATTACTAACTCTGCACAAAATCATTGTAGGTGAATTGCAATTTCTTGTTTCAGTCTTTGTGTAAAGTGACTCGCAAAGCGCCACCAAAGACCTTGACGTTGTAACATTATGATTTTCAATAAAGTTTAATTAGGTTTACGACAAGTGGAAAAAGATGTATTAACAAGATTAACACAATGATGTTAAACGGATATTGGTCAACTTCCAGGAAATGCAAATAACCGAGTACGCAATAAGGTCTTAAAGAAATAGGAACTAGTGTGTGCAATGATGAACAGAAATGTTAGCACAGACAATACAGAGCTGTATAAAATAATGAAAAGAACATTATTTTTAGTTTCTTTCAAATTAAACACGCTGTGAATGTCTTGAGCGATTATTAAAAATGATAGAGTATATATCGAGAGGTTTTTTGTATATGTAATTTTTTTTTAATTATTTTCCAAATCATTAGATATCAGGTATATAAATAAATATCTATATAAATATAAATATTTATCTACTATAAATGTATTATAAGTTGAATATTATAAGTTGAATCTATATGCCATTTTTGTAAATGTGTTTGTATTGCTATTTTAGTCGTTTGTTTAAATTGAAGATCATGAAAGATCATGAAGGATTTAATAACGTATATTAAACATGATTTGACTTTATATAATTCAGTATAATTTGATTATACTGAAAATAATAAGCTTCAAAATATTTAATTAAGTAATTTATAATATATTTTCAATGATTCTTTATTCTATCAACAGTTTAAAGAAAAATTCTCAAATCTAATATAATTAGTTTACAGTTTTATATGTAGAGTTCTTTCTTCAAGACGCTGAATGCATATCTTGTATTCAGTATGCATATCAATAAGATTCTATAAATGTACTATAATATTTTATGTTTTACTTTTACAATATCATCATTATATTTTTCATTTTTTTTTTTTTTTTTATTTAGGATAATCGTCTTCGTTAGTTTGAACTTTGTAACAATGTAAATATTTGGTTTGAAAATTCACAGGAAGCTAGATTTAAAATCTAAGTTACTTGTACTTTAGCGAAAACAGTTGCCAATCTATATATCGGATTAATAATTAATTAATTAACGTTCATAGTTTGTACATTTAATTTGTGAATCTGAAATATTTGAGAGATGTACATCAAAGTTTGTACTGTACATTTGTATATAATACAATAGTATTTTATGCACCACTATAAACAATTCAATAACAAATGATTATTCGTGTCAGTATTACTGTTCATCATTGCTTTCTTCACACAAAGAAAGAAAGAAAGAAAAAAATAGTTTCATACAACATGTAAAAAAAAAGTTGTACAATATTTTTCCAATATACTTTCCATTTGCTTTTCCTACGAGGTTCCAACCACTAGCCGTTATCTCTTTCCGCAAGCACGAGAGAAAAAAGTTTCTTTGTGAGAATGTCGAGAATTTATTGTTAGCGTGTAAGTTTACTTCACTTAAGCACGAGAGAAAAAAG